GGTAGAATTTTACCCCCCTGGAAGGGTCCTCTAAAAATCCTTTGGGCCGTGTGGAGTTTTGAATTTAAATTTTCCCTTTAAAAATTTTTCAAAATTGTTCTCTTCGACAAGCATTAAATTTTTAATTATTAAAAGGGGGGTAATTCAAAAATAAGCCCAAAGTTTTTGTTATGGGTTTTTGGGCACCGGGAAAAAGTTTCCCCCCCACTAGGGCCCCCCCAACTATTGAAGTTTCAAAGAGAAATCATTAAAAGTTAGGCCAAAATACCCCCCAGAATTATTTTTTTAAAAAATTTTTTATATTTTAAAAGGGAATTAAATTTAAAAAAAAATAAAAGGGAATTTAAATTAAGGGTTTTGCTTCTTTGACAATGGATTCCTCTTAAAAAATGAATCTTTTTGCACTGGATTTTAATTCCAAATTTACCTGGGGTTTTATCACATGTGAAAGGGTTTTTTAAAACAAATTTTTTTTTTAAAGTTAATTTTCCCAGACAAAACATTAATTTTAAAATTTAAAAAAGGGAAAATAATTCAAAATCGAAGCAATGCATGGTTATGGTTCTTTGATACTGGTTTATTTTTCTTTTTTTCTAACAACTGTTTTTAAATGTCAAAATTTTGGGATCATTAATATTTAAAACCCGGCAGTTTCATTGGGAAATTTCCCGCCCGTACTTTCAGTGTCAAAAAGTGAGGAAAAAGATTATTGGCTCTCTAAAAATGCATTTTCTAATCAAGGGGGGCCCTAATCTTTTTTGAAAGGGGGCCCCCCGGAAAAAAAAACTTATATTTAAAAATCTCTTCTTGAAAGGTTTCCCCCCCAAAGTTTTGTTTTAATTCCAGCCAAATAGTTGCAGAGGGAAAAAGCGCAGAAAAAAGGGTTTTTGCTCTATAAAGCATACAACATAACTTAAACAAAAGGGGCCAAAAACTCTGTCTTGGAAGGGTCCATTTGGAAAAGTCGAAAAGAAAAATGCACATCTCATGGTATTGATTTTCCCCATAAAGTTTTTTTGAATTTCCCCGCCTGAAATTGCAAAAGGAAAAAGCCGGCCCGGGAACGAAATTTTGTAAAAGAAAATGGACAGAAACCGGGCCCAAAAAAAATATTTCCAAAAAATGACAAATTCTGGACAATGGAAATTCATGTTTGTTTCTTGTATGTTTCTTCCTTTAATAACACAGAAATGTTTTTAGTTTTTATTTCTCAAAAGCTTTTTAATTTTGGTGTACTAAAAACCAATGGCAATAAATACGAGTAGTTATAGCTTGTGAATTAATATTTTGCATGGAAGTAAACATACTACATGTACTTTGTTTACATTTTGCTACTTTCATATATGACAAATTATTTCACAACAGGTAGCAAGTATATAATATTCTTTAAAACATTATTTAAACATTACGCAATTCATGAGTTTCTGAGGCATAACTAAAACTGATTTACATTCAGATGTATGGCAGAGTTGTCTCCCTTCCATTCGATTATTAATAACAATTATGTAATTGAATTGTTTTATGTTGTCATGTATGGATGAAACATATATATATATATATATAGAAATGAGAGAATATATACACACATAAATTATATATACAGATGAGATTTTATTATTGTATAATTCATGTGCCATTAACACGAAAGCTAATTTACAGAGGAGTTTATTATTTCAACAATATATAAATACAGTGGGGAAAAGGAAGATAAATGTCACAATTTTGTTAAGTACAACTATGTATACATTTGTACTCAGCGATGTGTGAACTATTATAAACATCATTATAACGTACGTGTGTCACCGCAGGAGCGTCTATCTTCCGGATGTTTACTACAATGACTGTATTAGTTTTACTTAACTAATTAAGTCAAGCATCACCTATATACATGTGCAGCAGTTATAAGGATGTGATTTGTTAAAAACAAGCCATAATAAAGTTTTACGTGCCTATAGGAAGTTTTTATATTTACATGTTAATAATTTGTTGGTTTAAAATTTTACTTTTAAATCTTCCGGTCACTAGATGAATATTGATTCGCAGCCCGTTAGTAAAGGCGTTGAATTTGCGCAAAATGAAGAAAAGAAGCAAGCAAACAGACAAAACCACGCTGCTTACAACAGTAGCGACGACGAATGCATTTTATGTCTAGCTTGCTGTTGTTGTTGTTGTTCCGAATCTAACAGCGGCGATTCGAACGGAGAGGGAATATGTGATTGTAGCTGTGGATTATGTGATTGCGATAACTGCTGCGGCGGAGTGTGTGATTGTGGAAATTGTGACTGCGGGGGATGTGATTGTGGAAGTTGTGACTGCGGGGGATGTGACTGCGGTAGCCTCGACTGTACAATTCTTTAACTTTTAAAGATATCTTCTACTTAAGTCTGAATATGATACAGATATAGATAATAGTGTACATATATAATAGCGTACAACGGTCAGAAGAATTTAAATTGAAACTGAACTGCACGTACAGTTAGGTTTCGTGATAAAAATCAAGTACTTTTCATTTCATATACCAGTACAATTTTATGTTAGATTATTTATAAGATAAAACATGGTTGAAGAATAATATAACATCCGAATTCGAGAGGTTGCCGATACACAGATATGGATAAATATATATAGATAGAAAGTGTCATCTCAAATAATAATGAGGGCCTCATCCTTGTTTTGTACATGTTGTGGTCTGCTATAACCAAGCTGAGGGTTAAAAGCCCGACCTCACACGAGATGGACCTTTTTCCATAATTAAGGCCATTATTGCAGGACAAGTTGAAATGTAGTGAAGTTGGAAAATGATCAAGGAATATATCATACAATAAAATCAGACTCACACAGGAGAATTACAAACAGAAATTGCATAATTTTAAACATTTTATTAAACTTTCTTTTGGTGTTTAACCTCTGAAAAATGTGTTCTTTTGTTATGAACTTTTTTTGCTAATATCTAAAAAAATGAAAATGAAAGTGTGTTTTCTTTTCATTATTAATATTAAAAATGACTTGCTATAAGTTAATTGCAACAAATTCGGAAGTTTTTGTTATTTAAATAAACTGCTTGAACTTGGATCGCTAGAATATCTACTTTCGCTCGAACTTAAATTTGTCTATAAAAAGTACTATTGTAATCGGTGTAATAGAGTAAATGTCCTATTGTAATCAAGGGAATATCAAAAACGCTCCATATTTAATTGAGAGAGTACAGAAAATGTACATAATGGAATATTGCCAAAATAACATGTATGGACTGTCCTTAAATATAATATGTCATTTGTATTTATTAATAGTATAATATTTAAAGTTTAAGTGTATCTTTTGCATGTTTGCCAACGGCAAAATATATCTGATTTGAACAATAAACTTTACATTATACGGTTCAATACTGGTATGTGGTATCGTCTCGTCACAGCCTAAAGCTTCCCAAATGGTTAATTAACTGAAAATTATATATAGCAAAAATGTGAATACATCGCGACCGAATTACTTCTGGTCATTTGATCGGATGTACTGGTTATGTTTGTAAAACTAAACCAAATGTGTTCCTAAGATTATGTTCATCCCAGGATATTCGTTACGTTCTACAGTTCTTCCATGAATTAGCGTGCCATTACTAAAATTATATCCAAATAACTTAAGTTTATGACTTTATGCATAACATCATGGATAAGTTTTTTTTCCGTTATGCGTAAATTCTTTTTTGATTCCCTTTTTTGTGTCGCCTTGAAAAAGTGACATATAGGGGTTACTTTTGTCGGCGGCGTCGGCGTCGTTGTCGGCGTCCCCTAAAGCTTGTCCGGAGCATAACTCAGTCACTATAAGTCGGATTGTCTTCAAACTTGGTATGCATGCTTCTTTCAATAACACGAAGTTCAGTGCACAAGGACCGGTACTCTGCACTTCTTAATTTTTGAGTTATTGCCCTATGTAAATTTTCATACTTTAATTTTGTCCGGGCCATTTCTCTTCAACTATAAAAGCTATGGACTTGAAACTTCATAGGATGATAGATCTCATTAAGAAGAAGTGCTGTGCACAAGAATCGGTACTCTGCATTTCTTAATTTGTAAATTTTCATACTTTAATTTTGTCCGGGCCATTTCTCTTCAACTATAAAAGCTATGGACTTGAAACTTCATAGGATGATAGATCTCATTAAGAAGAAGTGCTGTGCACAAGAACCGGTACTCTACACTTCCTAATTTTTGAGTTATTTCCCATTGTTAATTTTCATACTTTATTTTTGTACGGGCCATTTCTCCTAATGTATAAAAGCTATGGACTTGAAACTTCATAGGATGATAGATCTCATTAAGAAGAAGTGCAGTGTACAAGAACTAGTACTCTGCATTTCTTATTTTTGAGTTATTATCCTTTATTAATAATCATACTTTATTTTTGTCCAGGCCATTTCTCATAAATTATAAAAGATAAATAAAAACAAAAATAACCCAGTGCATGGTCACGTGACAAAATGTGTTGTCCGTATTATAGGCGAGTAAATATAGTAAATCCAGAGACATAGATATCTATGTCTCTGGTAAATCCAAGTTTTGTAGATGTCTTGTAGCAGTCTTCTAGATTATAAATACCATTTGATAAGGGATTTTAGTTAACCTTTGACTCTAGGCTTACTGGTGGCAACTTTGACTCTAGGCCTACTGGGACAAGAGCACACTTAAATCAGCCAGTATTTCAGCCAGTATATTCATGCCATCTGATTTTGGTCAGCACTATTCGCTTTCATTTATATGCCATCTAATTTTATTCAGCACTTATTTTTAAAATTTCCCTAAAACATGAATGGTTTTGTCGCATCAGAAAGAGTGACAATGATTAAATTACTCTAAGTTTCTGACATAATAGTCCAACATTCATGTAACTTTAAAAATCTAGATGAATGTACATCTTACAAACCAACGAAACATGCAATATGCTATAATACCAATACCGGTAAAATGTGTTCACTCACTGAAACAAGATAAATAACAAACTCTATACAGGCGTCAAAATTCCAATCTATTCAATCAAAAATGTCTTTATTTTATATTTGTTTATACATACTCGTATATATAATGTACATTCATGGTTGTCATAAAATACTGATGGGTATCATTTATTTGATTAATACATTTTACACATCATATTTTTACAAAGATAACATGAACATAATTGAATCAAGATTAAACAAAAAAACAAGAGGCCTTACATGGCCAAACATTGCTCGCTTGATATCCACTGTAGGATAAAGTTACAAAATCTAACAACTTATAAAATATTTCATGACTGATATCTACATGTGTACAGAAATATAGGAAATTAAATTCAATTAACCCATCAAGTTATTTCCAATTGAGAAACAAGTTTGTAAGTCATGGAATAACTAACATAGAAACATATTAAATGATATAACCATACATTAATTGGGATTTGGATTGATATAAATGAGAAAATAATGCACCGGAGATTGACAACTGCAATGTCTAAACGTGAATATATATATTGTTGAAATTAGTAGCCAGGTAGACTTGTAAATGAATGATCATAAAAAAAAAGACTTTCCTAGTAAAATTTGTAAAAGGGGTTGAAATATGATGTTAAAACAGCCATATGCTCTAATTCATTTCTTTCAGTTTAGTTTACTTTCTCTAAAATATATGGTTTCATTTACTTACAGCAATAATTATTTCATTCATAGATTTGCACAGATTTCACATTATTTTGCATATTTCTCGGTGAATTTTACCATTCTTGCATTATATGGATATACTGGGTGGATAAAAATAAAGAAAAATATGACCAGAATAAAACCAAGGCAAAAACATCAGCAGAAGTTTGGTAAGTCTTAAAAGTAAGTAATATCTAGGACTTCAAAATGTTATCTTTTATCCAAGATAATATCTAAACATCAAATATCTTGTTGTATTATTATAATATAAAAATCATTCAAGCAATACACTTAATTGAGCACAATTATTAACATTGTTATCATGAATAATCAAAAATATACATAGGGATATAAATGTAAGTCACTTCCGGTTTTAGGTCAAATAAACTTACTTAAGTTTGCTCTACATGATAAAATTTAATATGTAAATATTATGTCCACTGACCTTTAACATTGTACATATATTATGTCCACTTACCTTTAACATCGTACATATAAATGAATGACAATATTAGATGAAATAGATGACAGACCATAAGGATGAATTTCAAGGACTTTATGTATTTGTGACTAGTTATTTCATTTTAGTCTTAAAAGACAGAATATTAAGAATATTTACTATAAATAAATCCCCCACATATGTCCTTGATTAAATAGAGGATATTGAACGAGTGTAACTTCAATACTAAATTTATTGAACGAGATAAATCAAATCATATTATGCCAGCCTCTGGTTCAGTAAATTCAGTAATGAAACTACACGAATATAATATTCTAATTATCACATACCCAAAATTAAGACTGTTTAAAGTAAAAAGAATAATTATTCATTGATGCGCCTAGTGCGTCTTTACACTATGTTTGTATAAAGCAAATGATGTCACATTAAAATATATGCAAGACCATGCAATACCACATTTACGGAGTCGTTAAAGGTGCAGGCCGCACTGGTAAGTGATAAAATAAAGTATGGAATCAAAGTTATGAAAAAAAAATCTCAGTTGGTCAATGTATATGAATTTATGTAAATATAGATACAAAATGATAATAAACATGTCAAAATTACCCTACAACACAATTAAAGCTGCACGCCTCCAGATGAGTCAAATATTTCAAGAAAATCAACCTTGAGAAAAATATAAGATTTTAGACAAGTAAAAACATTCACAAGTGAAGAAATAATTTACATGTTATATGCTAATGATTATTTCTACTGCGGGATTTAATACAGTGAAAAGAAATATTTTGCATATCCTGGCCCTTTTGACCCCCATAAATTTATATGTCATTTGCAATGTGTGAATTATTTTCTGTATTCACTTAATAATTTTATACTTTTTAATACATTTTCAATATTTTCATCAAAATTAGCATGAATCTAGAGCTATGCTGCTTTAACAATTACATTTTGTTTTAATCAAAAGTTGAAAAATAAACATTTTACAAAAAAAAGAAGAAAAAAAAGGATACGTTTTTTTTCCGTTATGCGTAAATTCTTTTTTGATTCCCTTTTTTAGAAGAATTTTAAAGTTCTGTTTCTTTAAAATGCTATGCAACAAAAATAACCCAGTGCATGATCACGTGACAAAATGTGTGGTCCGTCTTACAGGTGAGTAAATACGGTAATCCAAGTTTTGTAGAAGTCTTCTAGATTATAAATACCATTTGATAAGGGATTTTAGTTCACCTTTGACTCTAGGCCTACTGGTGGCAACTTTGACTCTAGGCCTACTGGGACAAGAGCACACTTAAATCAGCCAGTATTTCAGCCTGTATATTCGTGCCATCTGATTTTGAAAAAATAAACATTTTACAAAAAAAAGAAGAAAAAAAAGGAGAAATACGTAGAAAGATGGTTACAGTATATGTCATAGAATAAGCTGTGACTATAACACGACATACACACAAAAATACTTTGTTATCACAATTTCAAAGCTTGTTATGGCCCCTTTGTTGTTGTCTCCTTTCTTAATCTTGTTTAGGTTGTCTCCCCTTAAAGTCATCCATACAGTTGTTAATACACAAGTGCTTACTGATAACATGTAGACATGACGTCGGCAGAAACCTGTAATGTTTAAAATAGAACTTCCTTTGCATAACATACATTTAAGCTTTAAAGGGACTCCACTGAGGTTTTTTTGAAATGACTGGACTAAACATATTTTTCAGAAATTTGAATATCATCTTTTAATTTGTTGAAAGTCTGTACCAATAACTTTTATGAACATTATAATTTTTCAGATCATTCCCTCACCTCCTTGTTCCAGAATAATCAGTTTTGTTGTGCAAAAATGACCCAAAAATAACAACAAAACTGACCCAAAAATAAAATCATTTTTGATATAATCGAGCTAAAAAACAGACCAAAAAATTGATATTCAATTTAATTAGGAGTAAATTTCTTTATAATCCTTTGCAGATCTTTCATTTTAAGTGCTTCACTTGATCTATGTAAGAATTTCAAATGTTTATCAGCCTTTTTTTGACCTCAGTGGAGTTCCTTTAACCTAATGCAATTTAAAGTGACTAGTCTTTGTAACCAGTATAGGGCCTGGCTAGCCTGTACATTTGTTCTGTCTCACCAGGCCCTGTCCTGTTGGCAAACCAATTCAAAGTTTAAGCTCTATAACCCCTAAAATGATAATGGATGGTTTTCAAAATCGAAACTGGACATGTCCATTTTAGAAATTTGCATATTATGAGTTAACTTTAATGTTGATGACAGACAAGTGCTAGAATCTCCTTGTAGCCTGACAAAACCCATCCCTACTGACTGGCTAATTTTAGCTTTTGATATCACAAATCAAAACCCCTGATTTTAAAAATCATGGTACATTTCAAAATCCAAAAGTGGAAAAAATACATTATACCTTGAGATTAAGTTGAGAAAGTAATGTACATTTTTGTATTTTTACATGTACAATTATGGCAAGTCGTTCAACACCTTATTTTGTTGATGATTTCTCAAAAAGCATTTACTAAAGAATTCAGAAACTAGCATTTTGTATAGTTGATATATTTTTTTCTTCCTTTGTACAGCAAAACCCAAACACTCATCCTTTTTTTTACCAAAAGCTGTCATACCGACAGCTTGCTCAACAATTCTCAGTGATTGGTAGTAAAACAATATTGGATAATATAGAATATAGAAGATCAAAAAGGGGCATAATTCTGTCAAAATCTAAGTTAGAGTTGTGTTGCCTTAAACAGTAACTTCCTATCATGCTCTCGAATAAGTGTGTGAAATTTCAACTTATTCCCTTCAAAAGTTTTTGAGATACCAACTTGCACCGAAAAACTTAACCAAAGTATGACATAGATGCCTGGGTGAATTAAACAGCTCTCCCTATTCTTCAAATAGAAGAGCTTAAAATGATTTCATACCATCAGGCAAATACAAAGTAATTAGGCAAAAAAGAACAAAAAATAACCAATCTGGCCCTAATTAGTAAGGGAGGTAACTACATAAATATGTAACAACAAACTGAACAAAGACAAATAAGAGTTACCTACCCTTTCAAAGCAAAAAAGCAGTATAATATTCTAGGTATGAGAAGCATCGACTGGTTACACAACACAGCGTCCACAATCTTTCCGGCTGCATACTCCGGCTCTACGATCGGTAACAGAAATGGAAACCTACAAGAGAGATTTAATAATTGCCAATCAATAAATATTGTTTTATATAATCAGTCTGTAGACATGGTAAGTTAATTGGCAATAATGAATACTATTAGTTTAGATGAATTGCTCATTGCATTATGGATCTTAATTAATTAATGTACTATAAATCTTGTGATTGCACATGTCTACCTATAATTTACTAATACTTCACAGAAAAACTTAGTCATTACTATATGTTAATAAATAAGTGATTTGATATTGGCCCTGTTATTTGTCAGAGGGCAGTCGTATTGGCCCAAGGCCTAAGGCACTTCTTCTTATTTTAATTCTAACATATTTTAATAATAACAAAGGGCAACTGTAAAAATAACTACATTATATCAGTTTGTATGGAAAACCTACATTTTGTAACTTATATTGTACATGTACAACAAAAATGTCAGACTGTGATTGTATAGAAACTGAGATTTTTTTTTGTTCATTTATGCAACCTGTCGACGTCTACACATAGACCGAGTTAAAACAAAATGGCTGTCATTTCCCAGTTTCTTGCAGAAATCTATATCATTTTTTGGCCCTGCTTTATTAGCCAATCAAATTACTTCAAATGCGGGCTTTATATCTATATCACTTTTCGGCCCGGGGCCGAAAAAGTGATATAGATATTGGCCCTGTTTTAAGGCAGGCCACGGTGTTATTGAACGTGACAGGTGCTTTTTTATAGGACTAATAACGTATAGTTATTTAATAATATGATTTAATAACTGATTGTAATCTAGTACCATACGAAAAACCATGCTCTTGGTGGAATTTAAGATTAGTCCAGCTCAATTTTTCTATTAAACCCACAATAAAAACATATACACCATTTCTTCAGTTGACTTTAAGGAAATTAAACAAGCAAATAATTCATGACTGATTAACTTTTCAAAAATCTGATCCTCCAAAAGTGGCTGCCCAAAGGCCTTAGCAAACTGGCCCCATGTTAATGGTCTATTCTCACTAAAGTACCAAAGCAGTCTTTATTTATCCTACTTTCATCAAATCTGTAACATATTTACAAGAAAAGTTACCTTGTTTTGGCACCTTCAAACATTCCTGTGTTGATAAAGAACGGACAAACTACAGTTGTATATATACCATCTTTACCCTGCGCCTCAAGTTCGAATCTCAGCGATTCATCAAAGCCAACGGCAGCAAATTTACTGGCACAGTAGTCGGCAAGGCCAGTAACTCCTACGAGTCCAGCAGAGCTTGCAATGTTTACAATATGGCCGTGATTTCTGCTCATCATGTCAGGTAGGAAAGACTTCACTGTCTGAATAACATTTGAGCCGCGTCATGACAAAACCAACATAATGTGTTTGAGACCACCATGGATCCAGACCAGTCTGCGCATCCGCGCAGTCTGATCAGGATCCATGCTGTTCGCTATCAGTTTCTCTACTTGTTATAGAGTTTGTAAGCGAACAACATGGATCCTGATCATCTGCGCGGATGTGCAGGCTGGACTGGATCCATGCTGGTCGCAAACCCATTATGTTGGTTTTGTCGTGACGCGCGGCTCATTTAATCATATCATACAGCTTGTTTTCGATGAAATATATCGTGGATATTGAATGAGTGTAGGTTCAATACTGACTTTATTGAACAAGTTTAATAAAATTTTAGTTTACTCAACGAGTCCAATAAATTCAGTAATGAACCTACAGGAATATAATATTCTATTTATCACATACCCAATATTATGACAACAGTTTAAGGTGCAAAAGAATCATTTTTCATTGACCCACCTGTATGTTATGTTAACATTTAGCACGTCTTTACACTATGTTTGTATAACACAAACAACGTTGTGTTAAATTATATTCTCGACAGGAGTCGCAAAATTGGAACAGGTATGTGATATAATAATATACATGTATTAAAAAAAAAATTTCATGAATGTTTTATATAAAATAATATGCAAAGGCTTAGACTGTAATTAATACTATACTCAGGGTTGACTGCAAAACTGCAGTAACTTATATGAAATAAAGGCAGACTTACGACAGTCTTGACGTCAACCCTAGATACATAAATAGTATTGGAATCAATGATTCCCCATGTAAAGGAATATAAATCAACAAAAAGATGGTTCTTAAGTCTAGGGCTTTTTTCACCAGTAGAGGAAGCAGCGCCGCACTTAATTTTTGGGGGGAAATTATACAGTATTTTTGCAAATGGGGAAGAAATTTTTTTTATGAAAATTCAATGTCTGCACTTGTTTACTGATAATAGCAAGCAATCAAACCTACCCAGAAGTGAGCCATTATGTTCACTTCCATAGTTTTCTGTATCATCATATCTGAACAGTCCAAGAATTTTTTCCCAGTCACTATACCAGCATTGTTTACAAGTATATCAACCTGACCAACCTCTTCTTTCACCTAAAAAAAAATGGAACTTCGAACGTTAATGAAAATATGTTTGTATATGTTTTAAATACTGTATAAAATTAATCAAAAGTAGTCAAAAAAGCTTTTAGTATTTACTTTTACACATATTTTTATTCAAGGTATATACACATGTTAGTAATTTACAATTTAAAGCAGGAATGAATTGGACCGAGAGCTGCAATAGCTCATGGTTACGTCCTCTCCTTTAATTTTTAACAAAAGCTATACATGTATGTATATATTAGCCTTAATTCTTTGTGTTATGGCAAAAAGTAATCTTCATGCCCAAAATATGAGTTGCAGTATTTAAATGAAAGAATTTACAGAATCAATTTATACATTTCTGACAGGATCATTTTAATGCATTGAATAAAAATAATACTACATGTATTATGAACTACATTCGGGCAAGGCACTGAGATGAAAACATCTGGTAAGCAAGTAAAAACTATATCACTTTGAACGTAGTGCTGCAGTCAGTAGTATTGACAGATATTCGAGCCGTGTCATGACAAAACCAACATAATGGGTTTGCCACCAGCATGGATCCAGACCAGCCTGCGCATCCGCGCAGTCTGATCAGGATCCATGCTGTTCGCTATCAGTTTCTCTACTTGTAATAGAGTTGGTAAGCGAACAGCATAGATCCTGATCAGACTGCGCGGAAGCGCAGGCTGGTCTAGATCCATGCTGGTCGCAAACACACTATGTTTGTTTTGTCGTGACGCGGCTCATTTGTGTTATATATAAAAGAACAGTATCAAATTAAACAATCAAGATCTTCTTGACAAGTACATGAAAACCCATACCCTGTTAGCAACATGATATACATCATCTCTGTCACAAAGATCTATCTTGTACGCTTTAACAGTGACACCATACTCTTTACACATTGCTAATGTTTCCTCGTTGCCTGACTGGTTAACATCCCACAATACAAGGCGACATTTCAACTTTGCAAACTTTAATGCCATCAGTCGTCCAATACCACTTCCTGTAAATATGTTGTTGGGAAAAAAAGTTAAACACGGGGGGAAAAAAGTTAAACACAGTGTGCAATCAACCGAAATATTTTCTGAGATATTGTCATGACTTACCTCTCTTTGTAGTCATATACATGGGGAGTATTTTTCTCTAACTTTCTATATTGAAAATAGTTTTAAATTATCCTTCAGAATCAGTTGAAATATTACTGAATGTCAATAACCATTTCATTACTCACAGTTATTGATGGCAATTTTGGTCACAATACACAAACTTTAAGTACATTTAAATTACCGAAAACTGAGGTGTTCCACTGTTAATGAATTAATTAACTTAATACATGTATTTTGAAAGACACTCTCTGAATCTGTTTGGATAATTCTTCTAGAAATTTTTTATGAACAATTCTCAAATATTCCTGACAGGACGATTTTCATTATCTCAATAAAGTCTGTAACTACATGTATACATATTACACGCAACCTACGTTCCCTTCGCAGCTCAGTTAATACACTCATGTTACTTCGAGTGAGCGATAGTGGAACATTTGAGTGATGCGCAGGAGAGTACACGCAAGCAAACATGCACACACATACACTCACAAACAGATTCATCGAGGGTATTTTTAATCTTATCATTTCCTAATTTTAATAACTTAGGATTTTAATGATATTTCTAAATGGGGCAAATTGTCACTAATCTAGGGTGAATTGTCACTCTAGAGGCGAATCTTCAGTGGGGCGCATCCAAATTCAATTTAGACTGGGTCGAAGACATGACTCTAAACTTCAGAGACAGCTATGAGATACAAGGGAATCAGGGAACCAGTCCCTAACTTTTATTGAATAAACCCCTTGGTTCTTTTACATGCCCAGTGTATAGATCTGATACATATATGCAAGGATTACCTTGATTTCTTACCAGTACACCTTTAGTTAGGTGGGAAACACTGAAAGTGTGACTGTCTCTGAAAAATCCCAAGGGTGTTACCCAGACTCGAACCCGGTCTAATAAACCCTTCCAATGTTTCGACAAAATAAATCAGTAACATTAAGTTTGGGAGGAAGAATCTGGAGGGTGAAACAATCCTCATTTCAATACCTGCTCCTGTGATGAGAACAGTCTCCCCGGATATATCTTTTGCCTGCCAGCTTGTGGGTACAATTGCCTTTACAATGGCTATGATCCAGTAATAAACTACGAGTCCTAAACATTTTAGAACACCCTTTATAATATCAACAATGCTTTCCGCCATCTTTCAGTCTTTGACTTTTTTTCTTTATAAATAAAAATCTAATGTAACTAATACGAGATTGATAAGTTTGGACTTCGGTCGGGTCAAAGGTCAATTTTCAAAACCGAAAGTAGACCTCTCCAAACACGTATGTAATCTGAATCTCTTAAAATTGACAGTAACGCATTAGAAAATATAGTTGAAAACGTTACAGGCATATCAACCGTGTTGATCTAGAGTCAAACGTTATTTCATATCATATTTCCTTCGCAACTAGAGAAAGTTTGCGTATTGTATTTTTTACTGTAAACATGCGTAATACGAAAACATCAGAAAATGCCGAATATTCAAGATTGAACAATACCAAATTTTTTTAACAGGTCTGACAACTCTAAAACCCCTCAATAGGAACAATACTACTAAATATATTCCTTCCCTCTCTCTCTCAATGCAGATAACAGTTAATTAAGGCCTAAATGACAAATATTTTTGTCTAAGATGGACACATTTCCTTTATAACAAAAGAAAAATTCTACTTAAGGCCGATGTATTTTCTAGAATAAGAAATACTACAAAAGTTTAAACCACATTTATTATTTTCAAAAGATGAATAATAGACAATATACTTACCGGTAATTATACTATATATAATGTTATGACTGTCTTCTTTGTTGGATAAGATGTACTGAGTGTTTTAATCTTAATAATTGCTTGTAAATATGTCTATATTTATCGTTGAAGGACCAGTTTCAGTGACCCTAAGAGTATTTTGTCCAAAATGATTAGAATATTAAAGGAGACTAATTTAAACTTTGAACATATTCATCAAAAGTTACTTTCTAGCTTTTGTTAAAAAATTTGAAATATTATGTAGATAAGAAGTAATAAGAAAATGCTTAAAAAGATAAATTTCCATGAAAAATAGTATACCAGATACACAATTTTGTATTTCTGACCATTTTTTCAAGGTTGCACCAAGGAAATAAGTTAACATAAACCGTGCTACTGGAACAAATACTTTAAAACATTGTTTTCAAAGTGGCAACATTTTATAAAAAGGTCACTGAAATTGGGACGTCACTGAAACAGGGAATCATACGATATGTTTATTAAAGGCTTTGTTGAAAAAAGATTTTGCATTATATGTGTTATCTTTGATGCTTTGATGCATTGCTAAATAAGATACCTTCGTTAATCCTTCTTGACCTTCGATTTATTCCCATCATTTCCCGATATTTCCTAGACAAGTAATTAATCTGTTTGTTATTTAATATTAATAATTTCTACAACAACAGAATACAGAAATTACCCAGCAACGGCTCAACCCGTTTACCATGGCCTCCAATCCCTTTAATTATAATTCATGTTTATTTTTTAAAATCTTATTTTGGTGTACACAGATCTATACAATATACGTAACAAGGAATATAAATCATGGTAACAAAAACAAAATTACAAATTATATAATTAATCGATGAAATTTACATCAGCACGGAGAATGTTCGTAGAAAACAGGATAACTCAGCAATATATAAATCAAATATTATTATACTAGTTACGTCCCCTTGCCTTGTGCCAATGAAACGGTGTAGTGAATAAAATTATTCACATTTGCCATTGTTATATTATTTCATTTCAGTTTAGTTTATGCTTTAATAAGTCAATTCTACAACATAATTTGTTTGATGAATTCCTTTATTATTTGCAAATAAAGTGAACCCCACTACCCCCTGCATAGAAATCACTTTCCTCGATTGCAAAGGACTTTGTGTGAAGTCTCTCTGGCTTTCCATAATATTTTCCCAACTGACTCAGTTGATTTATTCGTGCACGTTACCCAAAACATTTCACCGACAGTTGTGTGAAAATATTGTAGGAAATAAGAAAATTTTACATACAATACGTAACAGCCGAAGAAAGTGCTTTTATGTAGGGGTCTTTGCATTTTAAAAGTTATTCATGAAAAAACGGATCCTAATCGGTGGTATATAAGGATAGTTTCGTTTTGCAGTGCACTATATATATGTGACTTTTGCTTTTCTCGAAATCAAATGCAACCAATACGATGAATTAAACTAGTATCTGTTGAAAACCTTCACTGAAATACGTACAAGTAGTTACAAGCTTTGAAATAAGATTTAACCATATCATAGACAGCACTTTCAATAATATTCAGCGCAGCTTTAATGATATATCATACAAAAGAAAAATTTAAAATGAACAGAAAGAAACACTGAGTACCATTAATGCAGTTCTGCAACCAGCATCCAGTTTTTATTCATACAGACAAATTAAAAAGGCCCATTTTGTCTACACTTCATGATACACGGACTTTTATATGAATAGCAACTACTGTTTACCAAAACAATGATGAAATCATTATGTATATATGTGAGTATTTTATGTATATTATAACAGCTCCCACCATGTGCCACAAAAAGGCATTCCATAAGAGACGCCGTTCATCGGCGTCGTCAATAATTCACCTGTATTATCATATACATTTCATTTTCATTTAGGTCTCATGGATGGTATTCAATTAACTTATGCCGAATAATTGCAGCTGCATTAGACTAAAATAGTCAAAGCAAAGACAACAGAAAAGTCATTGTTTCGCATATTTTATTTCATGATTTAACATTTTGATAAAGCAAGCAATGTAGGTCTTAAATATGAAAAAAACGACCGTGCAATATTGTAGGTATATCCCAGCATACTGTAATAAATGATAATAAGCGGCTCCTTGAAACACTTAGTCCAATGATTATTCTCTTTTCTGTCTTCCGACAAAAGTATCCATCAGGTTATGAGCACCTAAATATTTACTAACCACAAATCCAGGTTCGTGAGGAATTAATCTGCAATGAGAAAACTTACTTTAAGGTATCTTCTTGTCATTGACAAAATATGTGATGAAAAATATTACTTTTTCAATAACTGTATGTAACTAAAATAATTTTTATCAGACTGCATTGGTATCTATAATATCAAAGTATTGGAGTTTGTGCAAATTTCCAGTAACATTTTTAAAAGGTTTGCGTTCACTGAACGCCGCCTTTCCTTGCTGATCTTGTTAATCATATTTCCTTACATTTCTTACATTTTAAACATCATTCGCGAGCAAAACAAGCAAAACAAGATTATCTTATACTAATTAGTGTTTTGTGTACAAAGTAACTACTATTAATATTCTGCATTATATACCTAACTACTAGTATTGAATCTGATACAAGATTAAAGATATGTAATGCTCAAATTCGATTTTAGAAAATATTGATAGTGGCTACACAGTCTCTTTCGTTTATTCAAAATAAACATGTTTTGACTTCACACAAAGTAGATACTAGCATGTTATGTTTAAAATTTGGTCACAATGTGAATATAAAGTGTCATTAAAATCTGTTAGTTTTTTGGTGTTTTTTATGTCTTTTTTTTAAGACAAGACCAACTTTACTTGACCTGTAATAAGGAACGCATCTTTCAATACATAGTTTATTCATTATTCTATTTGAATTAGACATTTTCAGTAAATATTTCATTGATTTCAATATATTTCTATGTTTAAAATATTCTACTCTAAAATAAGCATAATATAAAAGCAAGAAGTCAAAAATGACTCATTTAACTGCAAAACGTTAAGTACCTACTTATAGCTCTACTATAATGGTTCAATTCAATAATTTTTTATAGATTAATACCCTTTTTGATTGCAAATAGAAAATATAAGGTATTTTGGATACACATGTATTGTTTATTACATAATACAGCCCGATCTAACAATCTTGCTTCGTGGCTACATACTCTTGCTCTAGTACAGGCAAGATTAGAGGAAATCTAAAATAAAAATGGCGTTTACAAAAATAAGCAGACACATACACTTCATGTTGTTTTTTCAAATGTTACACATATAGAAATTCCTCTCCATTATTTAGGCAAGACTAATGAATAATGCCTATACAATTTAAATCTATATCCTCTCTTTCATTATCTAAAAGTTACAATTATTCATAATCTTCCCCATTTTTTTGTTTTTTAAAATTTTAAACCCACGTTCGGATGATTTCCCGCCCCGGAAGTCTAGAATGTTAAAACCCAAAAAACCCCGGGAAAACCCTAATGACCTTAAAAAAGGGAAAAAAACTAAAAATTTAAATATCATTTTCCAAGCAGTAGAAAAGTTTTGGAACAAATTTTAAAAAGTATGAACTGAAAATTTGTAAAACAAAAAAAAATTGAAATTTAATTAATTATCATTTTTGGCCCTTTTTTAAACCCAATTTTACCCAATTTAATAAATCAAAAAATTCTTAAATGTTTCCGAAAACAAAATATTTGTTAAATGGTAAAAACAAATCCCAAAAATAAAATTAAAATTAAAAAAATAAAATTCAAAACAAACAAATCTATTTTTTTTGCACCCCTCAAACATTCCGGGTGTTATAAAAGAAAGGGGACAACAACGTTTTTGTTTATCTTTTTCCCGCGAATCAATTCAAAATTCTAAAAACCGACCCCTCAAAAACCCCCAGCGGCAAATTTATTTGGCCACAGTAATCCGAAAGGCCGGGAAACCCCAAAAAACCCGCCGAGCGGGCGACAAAAACATTTATAAACCAAATGGTTTTTTATCATGCCCGGGAAAGAAATAATTTCACAGTCTAAAAATGGTAACTTTTAAAAAATTTTAAAAAAATATTAAAAGCCCTAGAAACGAAAAAAAAAGGAAAAATATGCGTTTTTACAATTTTTAAATCCAGTTAAGGGCGGGAAGTTTTTTTCATCGGGAAAAAGTTATAAATATACATACAAAAAACGTGTCGAAAATTTTAGCAAAATTTTGAAAACCGGGGGTATTTTTTATTCCATACCCCCAAAATACTAAATCAATATAATTGCCCACTAATTTGCAAAAAAGCAACAGAAGCAAAAGTTGATTCAGGTAATTTGCCAATAAGTCATTTTTCTGGAATCCAACCCAACAGACATCAAAATAAAAGCTTTGAGTAATAAAAATAAGAAAGGCTTTTTCTGGGCGTAATGGGCCCTTCAAAAAATTCTAAAAAAATTTAAAATGAAATTAAAACAGTGAATTTAATTAGCTTTATTTCCTACACGCAATTCAGATTCGCCACGTTGACATCCAATGTTGTGATAAAAATCTAGTTTTTGTTATTATTTATTATTTGGGCATAAGATAGAATCAAAGAAATTTTGCGTATTTTAAGCAATCTGATAACTAGCCTCTTACATAATGCTTCCGCTTTTAATCTTGACCGTGACCAAATTTTCAAACTCAAATTTCGGTGAACCTTT